CGCCAAAAGCGGCGGGCAGTGCGAGTAAGAAGAGCGTCAAAGACAAGAAGCAGGACGAAAAGTTGAACAGAGAAAAAAATCCTGATGGAACTGGACAGACGCAGCGTCGTCCACAAAAGGGGGTGGGCCATAGAGGGGTCCTGGGGCTTTGGGGGGTTTAAGGCTACGACTTGGACTGAGAATGAAAGTGTATGGGGATGTCTCTGTATGTTTGGCTGTGTGTATGAGCAGCGGCCATTGTTGGGGGCACTCTCACAACCACACACACACATAAAGGCGGGCGAAAAATTTTTTCTTTGCGCTTCACTCAATTTCGATTTTTTTCTTTTGGTCCGTTTCCTTCGAAAAGTTCAAAGTTGCAAGCGCGCTCTCGCTCTTTCACTCAGCAAAAAAAGGTAATTCTGTTTGCAAGAAAGAACGAAAGAAAAAATCGGAAAAAATGCAAGCCAAGTGGTTCAGACAGAGGGAGAGGGAAAGAGAAAGCACAGAAGTGAGTCCGGGTGCGGGTGCGGGTGTTGGGCCACCCCATTAACTGATGTCCACCTTATTCCCCGTCTCTGTCTTGTAGTTGCCCGTGTATTTGTGTCCGTTTCAGTTGCTCACATAGTTGGCTAAAGATAAAGGTGAAGGAGCAAGGGAGAAAGGAAGAGAGGTACGCAGAAAAAAATAAAGGGATTTAATCTTAAGAGCACTAATTTTAAACGTCCAACTCTTGTTTTGTATTGTTTTAATTTTAAACTATTTAAATATACATAGGAAAAATTAGGTAATCATCAATTAATACATTAATCAAAAATGAATTGCATTTGCCAGTGGTCTAAAAGGTCAGCTTTAGCCTAACGTGTAGTTTTACTATTAAGTACATACATACATACATATGTATGTGGAAACATATTGGTATGCTAATGTTTCATCTTATTTTTTTCTGTGTAGCACACATGCAATGAGGCCAAAAGTTGGGGAGGCAGCGAGTGGGTGGAACGGAAAGGCACGACGCATTGGGAAGACCCTCAAGTGTTGGCATGCAAAAAAATAAAAAAAATGCAGAAAAAAACAAAACAAAAAATACATAGCAATAAATATAACCAAAGCACATGGCGTGGCAGACACATGCATTTAAAAGTGGAGGCACTAAGGGGTTAAGGGAGCTAAGGCAACTGGCAACACTAAATCATCTGTGCATGTGTACCTCTGTTTGTGTGTGTTTGTTCGCTGGCTGACTACGTTTGCTAAAAGCATTAAAGCAGCGCCAGCATTAATTAACGCTTAGCGAAAATCGAATCTGAGCTTAACCCCAAAAAGAAGAGAAGAAAATAAAAACCAAGAAAGAAGTGTGGCAACGCTGGGGTCAGCCAGCGTGTGTGCGAGCGAGATAGCCTGCGCAAGAAACCGTTTCTTGGTGCCTTTTTTTGGGTGAACCATGTTCAGATCAACGGAGTTCTCTAATTGTTTTAAACGCTCTGTATGCAGCAAGGCAATTACAAAAGCCATTAACATTAACTAGACATTACATTACTTTTGGGGTGAGACTAGGACTAATTTAGGAAAACGAAAATATTTCCAAGGTTATTTTAAAGAAAAATAATTTTTGTGACATTGGTTTACTAAAGACCATTTTAATTTTTCCAGCTTCAAGGTACAAAATTCTTTTATAAGTAACGAACTAAACATTCAAAAGACATTGTCTAAAACGCTAAACATTGATTTCTTAGAAACAAAAACATTTTTACAATTTTAAAAATTAAATTGTGCTGATTTTGAGGCTAGTTATATTTCAACTAATTAAGCCGACTTTGTAATTCATTTGGGTAGTTAAAAAGTTTGCACAAGAACTCATATTCTTTGGCAGTCGCAACAACAATGACTAAGTTTGTGAAAACAACATTTTTTTCGTTCGGAAACACTCCACTGCACATCGTCCGAAAAGTACCAAAAGTTTCGGCTTTCCTCCAATTCCACTGCGATTTTCCCTTAGCAATGCCAATCTGAAGTCCGTACAACAACATTTTTCAAGGCGAAATGGACGCGCCAAAAAAAGGGGGCACCACACACACAAACGTAGTCAGAGGAACTCGAGAGTAAAACAAAAAAATATCCCCAAACACACACACACAAACAGAAAAAAATACGCACCAAGACGAAAGCTCCAGCACACCCATACACACTCACACAAACAGAAGTTGCGGTTGAAACATACAAAAGTACAAGGGCAAATACAATAACAACAAGAAACGGCGAAAATAAAAATGGGCAAAAAAAAGCGGAATACATAAAGTGAAGGAGAAGGAGGAAACTCCAAGAACATGTGCAGAAACAACGGCGACAAACGAAAGAGATACAAGCTGTAGTTGTAGTTGTAAAAGTCGCCAAAAAAAAAGTAAAAGAAAATAGAGGCGCAAAAAAATTCAGCAACTTGTGGAGGTTGAAGAGATGAAAGGGGGTCGGGTGGATGGGCGGTGGGTGGACGGACAGATGGCCGGCAAAACTTTTGCAGCGAAAATATAAAAATGGAGCGCACGTCTGTGACAAAAAAAAAAAAAAGTGAGAGGGGGCAAGGGGAGGGGAAGAGAGAGCATGAATGGGAAGTCGACGTCTGCCAGTCGCCGCAAGAAGAAGGAACGGCGGAAGGAGGGCTATGTGTGTGTGTGTGTGTGTGAGTGGGAGAGAGCGGGTGGAAATGGACCGTCGTTTGAGTTTTTTTTTTCTTTCGCTGCCCCCTCCAACTTGAGTATTTTTTTTATTCCTCAGCCACGGCGACTTGAGTGCGAACCAAGTTGAGCGCTCGGCTTATTTACTCAAGCGAAACTCGCGTCACATTGGCCACCACTGTAATGCGGTTGTTGTCCCCGCTTAAGTGGTTGCTGTTTAAATAAGTTAATGTTAACGCTTAACAGTGAAACGGATTTCCGCTGTGGAAGTTAAGGTCATAGTTATTTCCGAAATTCTTTTAATTGCCAATATCCTTATATAACTTTAAAAAACTTAAAATCTTACAAATTAAATACAACACTAAATTTTAAACCTGTGTTATTTTTAAAACTTTTTGCAAAGTTAAACGCAATATCCCAATAATTTCGCAGCAGAAAATGGTTTTAACATAAAACCCTAAAGCAAACAATATTTACTTTAAAACCTTATATGTATGTTTTTTTGATGAAAATTAAAAAATATTTTAAGTTTTCCTTCCAAATCTATTATTATTTTATTAAACACCTGATTCCCAAGGCGGCCAATCAATACTAATTGGCTTTTACATAAATAAATAATTTGTAAGGACATCAAATGGATTCGCCCGCCAATCCAATTAGTTTCATTATTGATTAGCCTAATTTAATTTTCCCACAGCCCCTAAGGTTAAACCCTTTGACCTGTCATTGGTCAGCTATATAGCTTATTATGACTGGAAATCGATAAATTGGCAAAGCCTCAGTGCACCGACCATGCAAATCAATATCAATTACCAGTTGCGGCAACAAAAATAAAACCTGAGGGCATTCCAATATCGATAGTAAAAGCAGCCACATTTCCCCGACAAATGTTTGGAGGTATACACACTATACTCTCGTACTTGTCTATATATATTATAGGGTATATATATGCCCCCAAGCAATCACCTACAACCAGAATTAATGAAGCACACAAATGACAATTACAATGGGGCGTTGTCGTCAAATGCAAAAAAGCAACAAAGCGAGGCAAGTTGCTTCACCGGAAGAAAAGATTACTTATTTCAAATTGAATACTATAAACATTTTAAAAACGAATTAAATCATTTTTTCTTGGATGAAATATTAAAAAATTCTTGAAATCTTGATCGTTTAAAAAGCGTTTAAAATGTATGCATTTAGTTCTTTATTTTTTCTTTTAACTTAAACTCTTTATCAAGATATGATCAATAGATTTAAAATTCATAAAGGTAAAAACAATTTCAAATATAAATAAAAGTTTCGTAACAAATGTTCTTTAAAACAATTTAATATTGATAAGGAACGAAATATGTTTGTAATATTTTGTATAAATTATACAAAACTATTTTATGTGATAAAACAAATCCAAAGATTTATTCAAAATATTTTTGATTTCATTTATAAAGTTTAGAAAGATTTATCAAAGTGTAGTGGGATGGTTTCGGTGGGTGGCATTTATCTAAATACGGGAGAAAAGGGTGAGCTTGGTGAAAGGGGGGCTATCAGAGGGAGAAGGGGGAGGGGGAGGGGTGGCTGTGCTCAGATAACAACGACCCTGACAGTAATTGTACTCGTACCGCTCCGCCTCTATATTTGTGCGTTCAATTTAAAAAAAAGAACCACTTTTGTGGTTTGGCTAGCTCGATGTTTGTTTGTTGACAAACCGATTAGAGGAGGTGGTAATTGTGGGTGCAGTCCATTTCATAACCGATGGACATTCGAATTGAATGCTAAGAGACTCTGATTTACCAAAAAGATTTCTAGATTGCACCAAAAAATATTATAACAAATAAATCACTTATTTTTAAATACTAGACACTTTTTGTTGGTTTACATCTTTCAGTAGTTAAGATAAGTGTTGATAAGGTAATAAACCTTTGATTTCACACTTATATATGTTTGTTCTTGGTTTTATTGTGTTTTGTTCAACCCATAAAAAAAAAAAATTTATGAGTTATAAGATAAGGGGGAAAGATCCCAAAAATAGTCTTCTGCAAAGTTATCTTATCCATAATGCACAATCACAATTTATACTATTCCATTGTGAAGATTGTTTAAATTTAGAATTCTTTAAATGCCAACAATTTACGGACTAATTAATAAAGAATTTTAATAAATCAGTTTGGAATTTGTTAACTTAGGTACTATATGATTTTTTATTGTATTAGATGGATTAAATTATCTTTAATTTACTTTTATTTTGTATCCAATAATAATAAATAATTGTCTTTCATCTATGTTATTAACTAAACTATAATTGATCTGAAACTAAATCGAAATCTATTGCTAACCAATAACCTGATATGGACTCACCTGTAATTCCGATTCGGTGACGTCAATTTCACCGCGATAAACAAAATCGATGATGGTTTTGAGGTCGGTGAAGATAATGTCGGCGGGCAGGATGATCGTGGGATGTTTGCACGGGTTCTCGAGCAGTAGTTTTTGGAAATACGTCGAGCAGGCGGACAAAACAACCTGAAAAATAAAGGGAATTATTTAGATTGATATGTTTTATTGAATAATTGTGAGTACTAACCTTGTGCGCCTTGAGGGATCCATGTTCGCAGGACAATGTGACATCGACAAAGGACAGATCCTCGCGCAGCTGTTGAAACACTGATGTCATCGTGTTCTGATAGTTGTTCCAGCGGAGACTGAAATACTGATGTCCTCGTACCGCTGCCATTTTAAAGGATTCTTTTTTTCTATTTGAAGCCCACTCGTTGAATTCTTTTCGCTGGCTTTTGTTTGATTTGTTTTGTTTGCGCGTGTTCAACACGTTGTGTATATCCTGGCTGGAAAAGCGAGAAGGGAAAAGCTTTGGTTAAATCGAGGTTTATTTAGTGCTGGCCTGGGAAATCAATCAATACTAAGTGAATAGTGGGTTGGCTGACTGGCTGCATCCTCCGATTTATGTTCCTGGCGAATCGCCGTTCCCGATGCAACTGATTCGCCACCAACCACATGTTGAAGATGCAATAAAAATAAAAGGAGTCGCAGTCAGTCGGCCCATTGTGTTTGAGAGCTTTGCAACGAGTTTGCAGGGAGTGGAGCAGTAAGGAGTGAAGTATGCCGGGAGGTAAGGGGTGAAGGAAGGGGTGTAGAAACTATTTCGAAGACAGGTAGGAGAATATATAATAGTGGCAAATCCTGGTCGAATAACTGATGTCCTGCTGAAGAACATTTTCAACGGGAGGATTTCAACAGCTCCTTTAGAAACGTTTCTATTAAATAAACATGTGAAACTGTATAAGGATTTGGTGCCTTGCCAATATATTCATTTTTAACAAAAAAAAAAAAAAAAAAAAAAAATAAAAAAATAAAACAAAACAATAAAAAAAAAAAAAAAAAAAAAAATAAAATTAAAAAGATTTTAAAAACATTCTGAATTGTTTTTTCTGTTAAAGTTTGAACTCTGCGATTAACTTGTTATATTATAGTATAATTTAAAATTTTTTATCAATTAATTACCAATTTTAAACTATCAAAATGTTTGACAAACATTATATTCCTTATCTGCAACTAACGGAATTTCGATCCTCACATTTTTCATTTCTCTTATTTTTGCCAATAATTCCAAACAGCTAAAACAAGTATTTATCGTTGAATTCGCGTTTAAACGTTTTACTGATAAGCGTGCTTTGACGAATGGTCGTAAATTTGGTTTTGTGTTTGGATTTACATTGAAACGTACACATTTGAGCCTCCTATCTAAACGTATTTTGTTTACCATATTTCCCAACTAGCTTATTTTTACTCAAAGCTTTAACTCGACAGGCCAACGAGCAGCAACTATTTTTACTTTATTTAGTGGTGGTCATGTCGCGTGGTTTTAGCACTGCTCGAATAGTTTTGTTTTGCACATTTTCATGTAAAATGCTGGGCCAGGCCCAAAGGAAGAAAACCGAAACCGAAACCAGTTTTCAGTGAAACTTCTTTTTCGTATGCCCTTCCAAAGGGTATTTATTCTTTAAGCAAAAGGTTGTAATTAGCATTCACTGCGGTTTAAATTTAATCCTGGTTTTAGGTAGTTAGTTTGGCATTAATACAAGTTTAAAGAGAATGGCTTAAACTACTTGTTGTTTAAAAAAAAACAAATAAGGTTCAAAAGGTACTGAAGTTCAATCCGTTACAGCAGTGTTGTGTAAGTATATTATTTAAGGGATTTCATTTTTTTCAAATGCCCAAAAGGGCATTGTTAGTTCAATAAAAAATAGACACTTAGCCCCAAAATTGTTTCATGACAAGTTGTTAAAAAAAAGGGTATTTTAACTCTGGCATTCCGTTAAAAAAAACTTCCTTTCTCGTTTTCAATGGCACGTATTGGTGCCTGCAAGTTGTTTTTGCTAGTTGGAGCATTGTCAAAAAAAAGGAATAAAAAAGCATAATAGGAATGCTGAAAGGATGCTTGAAGAGGCAACTTGCCGTGCAAATAGAATGGGAAGCAATGGGACAATGGGGAGAAGGCGCGGAGAAGAAAACCAACTTTTGCTTGCAACTTCCAATGCCATGGTTATAAAATGCAACCACAATTTTATTCCAAACAGAGAAATCCAGTAAAAACGAAAAACTTCAAGGGATTTTTATTACAAAGTCAAAACAACAGTGGAACTTCCTACGTTTGTAAAAAAAAAACTTATGAAATTTTATCGAACTTATTATCAAGAGTTTAAATAAAAATTGTTATTTCCCTTTGAAGCGCAATTTTCTTTGAAAAAAAAAAAATTATAAAAAGGTATTGACTAAATAAATTACATATTACAATTTCGTAAAAAAAAAAAGTTAAAATACATATATAAAAACTAAGTTTATTATTTATCTGAAATTTCCTGTATATTAATTGTTTCAAAACAATTGTATTCCAACAAGAAGCTTCACCGTATTGCATTTCATTTTTGAAGAAGATTCGCAATCAAAACAAAAAACGGTGGAAAGAAAAAGGTGTGAAGAAGGGGAATAATAGGTGTTGCCACCCACTCAAAAATCAGTGTCTCTTTCTCGCTCTTTCCCTCTCTTTTTTGCTTCTCCCAGAGAGTCTTATCATTAATCGCACATTATGCGGCCTGTTTTTTCCCGTTGTTACTATTCATTTTTCTTTTTTTCACTAGACCAATCCACGTTTTTTTCTGCTATTGTTCCCCCCATAGTTGCTTTCTCACTCTCGCACCCACATGTAGGAGATTTGCCGCCTTTTGGAGCCTCTTCTTGTTTTCTCCCTTCTATCTGTCCTTTTGTATGTTTATTTGGCAAATGGATAAAGAGTGTTCGTAGTTTTGTTTGTGGACGGACTTTTTAACTTTTCTCTGGCCTTAAATACATATGTACATATGTACATACATTCCTGCACTTCATGTTGTAATACCCTTTGGAGGCTTATGTATAAATCGGTCATTGAGCCGTTCTTATAGGTACTTTATGATTAGCAAATAAAACTTTTTAATATACATGTTGTCAATTATAATTATTGTACGATTTAATTACGTTAATACGTTATCCTTAACGTTGTTGTCTGTTCTTAATTCCACTGTGCCGAATTTATCAACTGATAAACCCATTTCGTTACACTGTGTTTTTCCAGGCAAAGGCAACTTCGTTTTCGTTGCGTCTCCTCTTTGCTTTTGGATGGTGTGCAAGCGAGCGAGCGAGACAGCTGTTTGGTAAGGGAGAGAAGGGGCGCAACGAAGAAGAAGGAGAATAAAAAGGGGGGAGGCAAAGGCGCAAGACAAATGACAGCGCGCTTCGAAATGAGTGAGTGGGTGAAGGAGAGGCAAAAGAAAATGGATTTTAAACATTTTTGTTTTGATTATTATTGTTCTTGTTCGTCGCAAAACTTTGCAAAGCAAAAGGGCGAGGAGAGCGGGAAAGGTAAAGCTGAGTAAAGAGAGGAGAGAAAGAGGGAGAGCGATGTAATGCAAATGTAATGCTGAACAATTGCATTTGCCAATTGAAACCAATTGAAAGGTTTGCAGTATTTTTATTTTTCCCTCCCCCCCTCCTTTTTATACACTTCGCAAACAACAAATATGTTCGCCTCTTATTTTTAGTTTAGTTTTTGTGGGGCTGCCTTTACCTTTTCGCTATTTATATTTGATTTTCGCTGCTGCTGCAATTTGCCGCCTGCCTTTTTGCATAATAATAGAGGAAATACGTCAAAGAGTCCCCGTTACGTTGCGTATTTGTTGCTTTTTTTGTACTGCATGCGTATTTACCGCCAGTTTTGTGTTGTTTTTGGTGCTACTGCCTTTTTTCTTATGTTTTTTTTTTTTGCTCTTTTTCGTTTATTCACCTTTTTCTTTTTATTAAATTTGTTCGCTTTTATTTTTATTTTTCGCTGCGCCTTCTGCTTCTACGCTCGTGCACACACACACGCGCGCACGCACCGCACGTACACACACACAAGCATTGCGATTGGTTTTTCATAATTCGCATAGCAAAAACTTTAATTTTATTCTATTTGATTTTCTTGGTTGGCACGCTGTCGCTGCTTCATTTTATTGTGTTAACCATTTCCATTCTGATTGGGGCCGCACTTTGACCGCTTCATAATACGCTGATTAAATTTACCAACCGCGCTTTTCCGCACTCTTTTTCGCGCACGCACCGAATTTCGCTGGCAAAACGGAATTTAAAATAATAATTATTTTTTCAGCTCGTCGTTCATCGGAGTGCTCGTGTTCGCCATTTTCGTGTGGCGCTGCCAGATGGTTGCCAGGCGCTGAAAAGTAGCAAAAGGTGCTTAAAGTCTTTGATTGCAAATCCATTAATTTAAATTGCTTCATTATTTAGTTAAATACTTATTTTATCTTTCATTTTATTTTCCTTAGACGAAAAATCGCTGTAATTTTCTTAATTTATCATTAGTTTTCGACTAAGTGGCATCCCGTTATCGGTTGTTCTTTGCTTCGCCACCTGTACAATCTAGTTGTCCCGCTTACACTGCCGTCATTTGGCCTATCGATTTTTTTCATTATAAATTTGAAATGGGCGGGAAAAAACCAAACATTTAAAAAATGTGGATGTAAATGATATACATTTTAATAATTGAATTTATATAAAAAATATATTGGTGCTTGTTGAATTACATTAAAAACTGTGTTACGATTTTTTATCCCAAAAAAGTAAGTTGAAAACATATTTGCAACTTATCAGCGTTAAAAATTATGTATGGTAATGTGTTAATAATTTTAAAGAAACATTTTTACGTTTGAGAAATCTTCGAAGGGTGAAAATTGACAGAGAAGAGTAAATTACAAATAACTACAAATTTTATTTAAAACATTTTTAAAATATTTTTCAGAGTAGCCACCTAATTATATTGCTGTCCAGACAAAAGCTTGTTGCTACAAAACTATCGTTCCGCTCGTATTGCCTATCGATACTTTGGCGGTCTTCTATTTGGAAATCAAATATGTTAGCCCGTTGAAACTCGATCATTACATTACATTTTAGAAACCCGTTTAATGCTCGTGTGCTTGCAAGTCATGACTGCGAAAATGCCAAAAACTTTATGTATTTATAATGAGCAAATAAATATTCGCCACCGACAACGCACGCATTTGCATAATGAAGGCGAAACCATTCAAATGAGTTGCACTTTCTCCGCTGCCTTAATTTGTATAAATATGTACGAGTGGGTGGGAGTCCGCCTAGCCCCATAAAAAATCAAGCCAAAAACCCAACGAAGCTAGCATACAAAACGACTGATTTGCAGCGTAAAATTATAAACCAATACATACATACGTACATAGATACATACATACATATGAACATTTGCATTTGGATGCGTGGAGCCTCGGGTAAAAGCTAATAGCTAATGGAGAACTTACGTGCCAATTGACATTCATGAGTCCCAAGGCCGAATACATTAAAATAATTGCATGTTCTAGCTCCAAAGCAGTAGAATAGTACAAAAAAACAATACAACAGAAAAAAAAAACAAACATAATTGTGGCATGATCGAGTCGGAAATTAATTGCTCTCGTTTTCCAACTTTCCAGCGCGGAAAAATCGATCGACTGTGGGGTACAAAAGGGGGGTTGGAAGTGGGGAACCCAGCGAGGTCGTTCCAGCAATTGATGTGTGCACCTATTTATTTACCTACCTAAAAACACACAAACATGTGAATATCTCCCTCCTATGCTATGCACATGTGTACATATGTATATACCATATAATTATAGGCGCACATAGGCGTCACCCCCGCCTCCCCCTTGAAAACCCGCCCCCTGGAAAACCCACAAACGCACCCTACTCCATTTGAATAACCCCACACGTCAGCCGCATTTTACACACACCGCACATGCACAAGTATTTATTTAGGTACATGCACTGCGGATTGAGTGGCGGGTGGAACTTTATCGTGTCACGAGGTTAAGTCACTTAAACAATTGCAGTGTCCACTACAAATATAACTATGCTAATAAATATTGGAGTTACACATGTATTATCTAGGTTAATCTAAGAATCAGAAAAGTTATTATCAAGCTTTAAGTAGTTTCAAAGTACTCTTTATTATCATAAAAACTGTTTATTAAACTTGGCAGGACATCTTTTTAATATTCCTTAAATAACCTTTTAAAAACAGTTCTTTTGGTACCAATATCATCCTGGTAACTTACAAGAAATTATTAAGGAAACCCATTTCAAGTTTACTTCAAACCCTCCTATCTACATAAAAAATAATTTAAATAACACAAATAACTTACTCTGCCCTTTGGTATCTCAGTTAACCTGAAAATACAAAAGAAAATTGTTTCCGTTAAGGTGGGAGCTCTCTAACAATACTAACCTAAGTTAATCAGTATTGATTTAACATTCCCCCCAATTCCATTTGACTTCCATTGCCATCTCTAAAACACACACACGCACATGCCTCCACAATTAGAGACGGACAAACAAACAAAACAAAAGATCCCCCACACCAACTAAAACAACAGCAACAACAACAAAGAAAATAACAACAATGATGCTCGGTTATGTTCGGATTTTCGCTTCGTTTTTCGTTCGGTGATTTTGGGATCGAAATGGAAATGGAAGCGCTGCTCCAAAAAAAGCATAAAGCACGTAAATGGAAAATGGAATAAATGGGTGGGAGAGTAAAAAAAGAAAGGCAGAGAGAAAGAGGGGGCAAGAGAGAGAGAGAGCGCCAAGGTGGGGAAAATGAGAGCGAGCGCATTAGAATAGCTCTGCTGCAACAATTAATGCATATTAAGGTCAGCTTTTCTGCCCTTCTGGTTTGTTTTTTCGAAAAACACCAAGTGCGGCCCACAGATGGCGCCAGCAGTTCTAAACCACACGCCGGAAATCAGAACCGTGAAAACTGGTTTTCATATCTTTACTTGTGAAATAATAATTTTTCTTTACTTGATTAAAATTTGGAATCCACCGATAAATTTCTTTTAAAAATTTGAAGATACTTTAATAAAAACAAATAAGTACCAAATTAAAAAAATAATAAATGCAAAAATTGTTTTAATATTAATTTGTTCGGATTCGTAATTAATTAATTTTGTAATATTTCAAAACAGTTTTGCAAGCTAAAGTTTTTCATATATTAAAAAAAATTAGTATTGCAATTATAATAACAATTTATCATACAAATATTTACAGTTGCGACAGAAACGTTTCGTTCAATTTTAGGGTTTTGATTGGAGTTAAAATTCTATACTTTTTCTGTAGACAATTACAAATATTTTGTTATTTTCGAAAAACGAATTCATTACATTCCAAAAGGGCAATGTAGAAGTTTTATCTCCAAATTTTACATAATAAGACAAAGAAAACTCGAGTCGTGAAAGATCAATGGAGCGAACATAAATAGAGCTGATTTCACAGTCGATGATCCACAAACTCGGTCCCCAAAAAATGCCAATGAGCATACACAACCCACTCGAAAAGCCGAAAAACTTCTGTTTTTGGCATGGAAAGGCAACAACAACAACAACAGCAGCAACCAGTTAACAAAAGCCACAATTTACAGAGCGATTGACGTCATTGGAAGGTTTATATATTTTTTTTTTCTATGGAAAAGTTTATGTAAGTCTGTGGGCAGAAAATTCGTGTACGTGTATTAGTGCGCGTGCTGGGCGACAAGTGCAATCCATTTCTTGAATGGTGCGCATGCACTAACCCCTTTGCCGCCCCTTTTGCCACCGCCCCCAATCCCCAATCCCCACACCCCTTCAAAAAAAAACTAAACCAAGCGAGAGAGAGAGGGAGTCGAAAAGCTTTTATGAGTGTGTGCAAAGCAATTTCATGTCATAAGTGCATAAAAATTGCAAGGCCCTGAAAAGCGGTTCGCTTCACATGACAAACATTAGATTTATCAGTCGAGCTCTCTCTTGCTTTTTCTCTCTTACTCTCTGTGTTGCTATCTCTTTCCGGGCCCCTCCACCGCTCATTATCTAATGTTCACTTTGGAGGTTTTTGCAAAAAAAAAAATACAAAAACAAGAAAAGAGTAAAAACTATAACCTGCCCTAGAACTTTTTTTACATACTAACTTATGCACATACGCGTAGATAAAAAGTTCTCATGTAAGCACAGTCGCGGCAAAACAATAGTACCAAAACTATGTAAAAAATTTACTTAGTATAATGTTTTAATTGCTTTAATAGTTAATATCCTAAAAATCTTATGCAATCCATTTGAGCCCAGTCTATTAAAAATTTAATAATAATTATATACATAAATTGTTATACAATTTTTACGTGCTTATACATATTTTATTTAATACTATTTGCTAACATTTTGCAAAAAACTAGTTCAAAAAAAATTTACGAAATCCAATCTTTTTTAAATTTTTTTGCAGATAGATTTTTAATTCATTCAAAAGATGTAAAACTTCATATGAAAACAACAAAGTCACATCATCAACTTTAAGATTGTTTCCACAATTGTTTGTTTTCACGAAGGTAATAATAAAATAACAATTATTGGCAACCGAAAGGTAGTAATCAGGCAAAAGTTTATTGAGACTTGGGGTTGTTTAAGGGCTGTCCCCAGGCCTATAATTGTCACCATAGTTGTTAGTATGTACTGGCGTTAGTTATCTCAATTCTGGTTGCAGTTTTTGTTGACGTGTTTTTTTCGCAACGAAGCCCTTCAATGGATGCCCACACACAACCGCACACCTGGAAACTAACTCAAAGGTAGAGAGCTAGCCTCTAGAATTATCCACGTGCATATGTGCATACTATATGTATGTATGTATGTATGTATGCATGTAAGTGGGTTTAAGTACATACCTTAGCGACAGGTGCTGGATTTTTTTTACAACCTGCTCCGCCCTTAGTCATGTCATACAATGCGTTGACATTCAGCTCAACTAAAGTAGCTGCTTATTTCCATGATCCCCAATCGGTACACTATTAAGTAATTGAAGCACTTGAAACTTAATGCAGATCGGGCGGAAATTATCATATAATGTTCAACAAATATGTAGACAATTCTGTAGAGGAAGACACTCCTACAAATTGAACATCTCAATTAATTATTTATTCAATGCAGTGTTTGCTGAAAAAAAAACTAATTTGAATATGAGCTCTATAATAAAACGATTTCATGTTAATTTGTGTTTATTATTGTAACTACTGTGTTTCTTAGAAATATAATAGAAATATGCCCCAAGGTAACAACTTGATAAAAATGTTTGGATCTTAACATCAAGAAGTCAAGGTCATATTCAGGTATATTTGCTATAAATGTGTC